AGTGGATGAGTGAGTGGATGGATGGACGAGTGGATGAGTGAATGGACGAGTGGATGAGTGAGTGAGTGGATAGACGAGTGGATGAGTGAGTGAATGGATGAATGAGTGGCTGAACTGATGATTAGATGAGTGAGTGGATGAATGAACAAGTGGATAAATGGATGAATGGATCTTAGGATTGTGGCAGGCTTCTACAGCATGGTGTAGAGTGCTATGCAAAGTACAGTAGCCCCCCGATGGTCACTTTGGCAGAGGGATCCGGAGCTCTGGCCTCTGTTCCTTCCTGGTCCCCCCACCTCCAGCCTCCTGCCTCTGCCCTGCTCTACCTCACTCCCGCCCACCACCACTATATACACTGCCCACTCCACCAAAGCACAAGTGTGTCAAGTTTGAGGTCATGTTGGACCACGTCCAGCCTCAGCGCTTTCTGCCCTGTTTCCAACGCCACTTACATCTGCTGGACTTGCTCAAGGAAGCGGTGGCTTTGTTCTTCCCTGATCTCTGGAGAACACCAAGTGATGGATTCTTCCGCTTTCCATCTCATCGAGAGGCTGTGTCTCATTCACATAGGAAAGGGGGAGAAGCTCACAGGTCCTGCTGGGACAACAGTGAGACCAATAGCCAAACCCTCTGCCATTGCGTCGATTCCAACTCTTAGTGATCCTGTAGGTCTGGATGGAACTGCCCATTGGGTTTCTCAGGCAGTCAACTTTAAGATAGCAAGTCCTTCCCCTGAGGAGCAGATGATGGGTTCGAACCTCCGGCCTTTCCGTTAGCAGCCAAATGTTTTAATTGGTGCCACCAACTCCTTATTCCCCCACAGACGTAAATGTTAACACCCCCCACCAAACTCCTCACCAGTGAGTTGGCTGCAACTCCTAGTGTCCTACAAGACAGCAGAACTGCCCCAGAGGGTTTCCCACGCTGTCAATATTTACAGAAACAGACTGCCACATCTTTCTCCCAAGTAGTAGGTGATAGGGTCAAACCACCAACCTTATGAGTAGCAGCTAAGTGCTTAACAGCTGTACCAACAGGGGCCCTTTGGGTGGGAGACTTGGTTGGGAGATCTGGTTTCTAATTTTCTACCCCCTCACGGAGTCTCTTAGTGATTTCCTCGTAGGAACTTGCTAATATGTGCTCCATTGTAATGGTATCACTCCACCAAGACATACAGCATGGCAACCTCGAAGCCAATTCGAGTCCAAAGTGCGGCCAGAAGTGGCCGGCTTTAACAGTGATTGGTTTGTATGTGCCATTCGGGACAAGCAACTTCCTGTGCCCCCTCTCTCTCCCTGAGAGAATCCTTATGGGGGGTTTGAGGGTATCCTCAAGGATTCCCCTCCTATCCTAGACGTGAGGGGTTAGGGGGGAAGAGGCTCCGGAGCTCTGCTGCATCACCTGGCTTCCACCCACGCCACCCGAGAGCAGGAAAGACAGCTTGTGGAAGGCTCTTTCTGCTGTGATTTCTGCGGCTGCCTGAGCTTCAGGGCACCTGTATTCAAAATGAGCACAAGGAAGGCTCAAAGGGGCAGGATTTTATCTCCTCACAGCTCAGGAATCCCTGGGACCCCCTCCCCGACTCCCTTGTGGGTCTCTGGGCCACTCTGCTCTTTCTGAGCCACAGTGAGATTTAGGACCCCCTGACAATGGGCTGGCCTCGTAATCATGCCAGAAGCATCAGCATGCATTTGGAGGACATAGTTCATTCCTTCACGGGCCCCACTGGAGCCGAGTTTTCCTTGACCGAGGCCCACCCGTCCCTGAAGCGCCGAGGAGAGGCCAGCGTGGAAGGCCTGCTGAACCAGCTTGTCCTGGAGCACCTGCAGCTGGCCCCCCTGCAGTGGGGTGAGTACCGGGGTGCGGGCCTCACGTGCTCCCGCCCTGTGGGGTGGGGACCATGGATATGACTGTGTGCTGGGGTACCTGTAGCGTTGGGGTGTGGGCCTCATGTGTTCCTACCCTGTGTTGTAGGGACCATGGATGTGAGTGTGTGCTAGGGTACCTGTAGTATTGGGGTGTGGGCCTCATGTGTTCCTACCCTGTGTGGTGGGGACCATGGATATGACTGTGTGCTGCCTCCCCCTCTGCAGTGGGGGAGTACCGGGGTGTGGGCCTCACGTGTTCCTACCCTATGGGGTGAGGATCATAGATGTGATTAGTGCTGGGGTAGGTACCTGCAGTAGGAGGAGTACTGGCGTGCGGGCCTCATGTGTTCGTGCTGTTTGGGGTGGGGACCATGGATGTGCACATCTGCTGCAGGGCCGTGTGGGGAGCTGCAGGAAATGAGGTGACAGGCCACTGTGGCATCCTTGCATGGGCCACCGGCATCAATCTGCTGCTGTTCCATGGGGCAGGTTTGTCCTGTGCACGGTGGGAGCATTCAGTGCCCGTCAGAGATGGAACTGCGGACTTGCCTTGGAGTCCAGTTGCTGGTCCCCCCCAATTGGCAGCCTCAGGCAGTGTGTGTCTGCCAGTCATCTTGGGGGTGAAAGAGACCACACTTGTGGCTACCTTCTTGCTCCACCCTCATTCTCTTTGTAAACGCTGGAGCTTGGTGACAGTCCACCAGGGGTCATCCTGCTTTAACACTTTGGTCATAAGCTGCCGTTGGGTGAGTCGGCGGTGACCACCCATGTACAACAAACGGATGGTGGCCGCGCCCTTCCACATGCGGCACCGTTGATTTGAACGTTGGCACCTGCTTAGCTGAGGCGCGGGACCCTCATGGAGCCTTCCTTAGAGTTAGGAACAAGCAGGGTGGCTCTGGTAATGGAGAATGGCTCATTGTTCACTGGACGTGGCTTCATCACACCGTCTGTTTGGGGTCACGTGCTGACAGTCAGTGGTTAACTCGGACCCCATCTTTGTCTAACTTACCCGCAAAATCATGGACAGTCAGCATCTGGTCTTTCACCCACGATCCTCCCAGGAAATCCATGTTCGATCTCCTCCCACCCATTGCTTACCTTCAGAGTGAGGCCCCTCACCCTGCACCTGCAGCCCCCTCTCCTCTGCCTCCCTGTCTTTGCTCACAGTGAAGGAAGGTGCCGGGGGCCACACAGCCATTTTGGACATGGATGGGTCTATACTCTGTGCTCAAGAAGCTCCTTTCTGTGGAACCCCACCACCACCACACCCCTCGCTCATGTATGACTTGTCCTGAGGGAAGGGGTTCCCCATGCAGATGTCCTGAGTGTCCCTGGAATGTCCTGTCTTGTGGTCACCTGGGGTACAATCAGCTGCTTGACTCAGAGTTGGACAGCAGAGGGGGTCACCTCAAGTCCTTCCAGCCTGCAGAATTGAGACTGGCCATATTTAATCCATAGCTAGAGAGGACATTGTTTGGAAGACAAGCAGATTTGGTGGGGCAGGTGAGCCAACAGTGGGTCACAGCCGGGACAGAAGCCAGGGGCCAAGGATCTGAAAGCCCCAGGAGGCTTGTCTGTCCTCCCCGCTGGGTCCAGTCTCTGCAGGGGTGGACATCCTTGGGGGTTTCTTCTGAGTCTGAGCAGGGCTCAAGAGAGAAGAGGTCAGGGGACTCCTGCTCTAAGGTATCTCCTTGGCAAGCATTTTCATCAAAGATGCAGTTTGTCCTCACCACAATGTCTTGGGCCAGAGCTAATATCAGTATTTACAGACTGGGCAACAGAGACTCAGGACCAGCATTTGCCCCAAGGACCCCAGGAAGGAACACCCCTCTCTAGGTCACCCGCACAGCCCTGCCTGAAACCTGGATAGATCGGGAATCTCAGATGAAGAAACCCTTTCCTCAGGGGGAACTGAATACTTAATATCAGTAAAGGTTCTTTCTGTGCATCTGCCTTCTCTTCAGCAGGTTGTTGTTGTTGTTAGGTGCCATCAGGTCGGGACTGACTCATAGTGACCCTGTGTACAACAGAATGAAACACTGCCTGGTCCTGTGCCAACCTCACATCGTTGGTACACTTACACCCATTGCTGCCGCCGCTGTGTTAATACATGTCATTGGAGATCTCCCTCCTTTTCTCTGACCCTGCACTTTACCAAACATGATAGCTGCCCGCAAGGACTGGTCCCTCCTGACAACATGTCTGAAGTATGAGAGACGAAGTCTGGCCATGCTGGCCTTCCAAGAACATTGTGACTGGACTTCTTCCGACACAGATCTGTTTGTTCTTTTGGCATTCCATGGTACTTTTAATATTCTCCTCTAACACCATAACTCAAAAGCATCAGTTCTTCTACGGTCTTCCTTATTCATGGCCCAACTTTCACAAGCATATGAGGCGATTGAAAACACCATGCCTTGGATCAGGTGCACCTTAGTCCTCAAACTGACTTCTTTGCTCTTGAACACTTTCAAGAGGGCATGTGCAGCTGATTTGCCTAATGCAATACTTCGTTTGATTTCTTGACTGTTGCTTTCATGAATGTTAGTTGATCCAAGCAAACTAAAATCTTTGACAACTTCAATCTTTTCTCCATTATATGGATGTTAGTTACTGGTCCAGTGGTGAGGAGTTTTGTCTTCTTTACAATGAGGTACAATCCATACTGAAAACTGTGGTCTTTGATCTTCATCAGTAAGTATTTTAAGTCCTCTTCTCTTTCAGCAAGCAAGGTTGTATCATCTGCATGTCGCAGGTTGTTAGTGAGCCTCCTCCTCAGTGGATTCTGAAAAGACCCTTTAAAAGTTACAGTGGTGTGAAAACTGGGGAGACCAATGGGAACTGTAAGTGGGGGCTCGGAAGGCAGGCAGGATCTGGGTGTCCTAATTGGCCTGGAAGCTGAAGCAGACATGCATGGACAGGACTGCTGAGCAGCCTGAAGGATGGCCACAACCCAGCTCCAGCCCCACTATTCCCTCGTACTCTGCCCCTTGTCAGAAATCACTTCCCACCATTCCTCCTTTCAGTGGGTTATTGGGAACTCTGATCTGTCCATGCAGCCCTGGGTTCTGGCCTTAGCTGATTCACAGATGGGCTGTGTGATCCCAGGCTAGTCCCTCAGCCTCTCTGAGCCCAAGTCTCCTCATTCACGAGATGGGATGGCATTGCCGGGTGGAGTCATTAAGAGGATTCGCTGATACCCAGCATGTGTCCCCAGCACAGTCCCTGCCTCACTGGAGAGCCGTTCCCTTTGAATTATTCCCCTTCCCTACAGGAAACGTGGGCCAGTGGGACACTGAGTGCCCTGTGGTCCTCACATGGCCCAGCACATGGTAGGCTGTTGCGTTCCCTGATGCCTCTGGGGGTGTGAAGGTACAGGGGGTACAGGGACTGTGGCTAAGTGCACCCTTGTGTGGAACCATGCACTGTGCGCTAGAGGCCGGGCATGGAGTCAGGCACAGCTGGATTTCCCTGTGCTATGTGCTGGTGGGTCGCCCAGGACACCAGCCAATGCCCCTTGGACCGCTGTTTCCCCATTACAGGAAGGGTGGGGACCTTCCTTAGCATCTTCTCAGGGTCAGGAGGAATGATAGCTGCAAGGCCTTTGACAAAACATAACCCTCTGATGGCTGCAGAGCACAGATTTCTGACTGCCACTCATGTTCCCACGCTGCAGAGATTTCTGTCCGCCTGGAAGTCAGTTCTTCTACTGAGACTGCAGGGCACCCTGCCCAGCCCACGCCTCCAAGCACTTACCGCTCTGCCCTGCCACCTTCCCAGGAAAGCTACCAGGACAGCCAGGGCACCTGGGACATGGTGGTCAGCAGGACCCCTAGGGCACCAGGCCCACGTATGTGGTGCAGAGTCCATCCTCAGGGGTGGGAGAAGGTCATTATGGGGGCCCATGTCCTCGGAGGAGAGAGCTGAGTGGCATTTAGGACCTGAGCTCCTTTTCTCCTTACTGTAGAAAGTCCCAGGTGCCTGAGACTTGAGGAGCATGCCCTGGAAATCTGGAGGTGTTTCAGGACCTGCCAGGATTGGCCCAGATCCAGGACCCCTCCTCTCTTCCTGATGCCCAGTGGCACCTAGATGCAGGACACAGTGTGGACCACCAGACATGCATAATGAGCGGGCAGTGCTCGCCATGTATGAGGCCCATTAGCCCCACTGCCCCCAAGTCCATTTCAACTCATAGTGACCCCAAAGGACAGAGTAGCATGGCCCCGGAGGATTTCCAGGGCTGTACATCTTTAGGGGCAGCAGTTCAAAACTACCAGCTGTTCCGCGGGAGAAAGATGAGGCTTTCTGCTCCCGTAAAGATTTTCAGCCTCAGAAACCCTGTACAGGGTTGCTGTGGGTCGGAATCGACTCGACGGCACATAACAACAACAACAACATCTTTAGAGACGCAGACAGGCACACCTTTCTCCCACTTAGGAGCTGGTGGGTTTGAACCACCAACCTTTTGGTTGACAGTCAAGTGCTTAAGTACTGTATAGACCATAAAGTGACTTGAAATTTGCTCTGTTTTTGTAATATTATCCAGGTTTGAACAGAAAACCAATCTGAACCTGAAATAAGTTGATCTCCCTAAATTTAAAAGCAACTAGTAAAAAGTTACAAAACTTGCAGTAACCTTGTTGTTGTTGTTAAGTGCTGTGAAGTGGGTTCTAACTCATAGTGACCCTCTATTGGATGTGGCTGGTGAGTTTGAACCGCCAACCTTGTGTTTCAAACCGACCTTGGGGTAGTGCTTTATCCCATAGCGCCACACAGCGTATTAACAGTGTCGGTCAAAAGAAGTATCCTCCTGCCCCCTCCAGAGACCGAGTCTCACTGCCTCCTGGGGACAGCCAGGAGGGGCTGGGAAAGTGGGGAGCCTCCCTCTGCTGGGCCTTGGGAGGTTCCGCACGGATGTGTTACTTCCATGAGTTGGTTTGCAACCACAATTGTAAACACATTTCACATGAACCACCA